AACTGTCTGCCTCCGCAAAACTGTCGTAAAACACGGCTTTGTGGTGTTCTCAATATAAAGGCTTATGTTCTCCCTAAACTCTTGAAACAAAACTAAGCCTCCCTCCAGCATAACACAACATTCAGTTCTGCACCAAAGCTGCCCTTCTCTGTAAGCATCCTGTCCCTGGCTACCCGAAAATCTCCCAAAAAGCCTCTGACTGGACTTCTGTAGCATACACAGGGGTGCCAGGAACCCCTCCCCTGGGAACAGGCACTCTGCAAAGTTTCTGATAACTGCTGCAATGAGGTAAGCCCCCTACCTGCCCTCACCTTTGACTTTGCCAGGTACCATGTCCACAGTCTTCTGGGAGTAGAGAATGAAATCTTGAGTAGTATACACTAAAAAAGGCTAATTTTACCTTTGTTGCCTTAAAAAGGCGATGTTTTCTATCTTTAAGCATTTCAGCAGAGCTTGGAGGGTGAAGAGAAGGATTTTTAATAGTTTGACACAGGATCTTGTCCTTGCTCTTTCAAGAACTGCAAAAGAGCCACTTCTGTGGTACAGACACTGTCCCTTCCCCAAACACACTTGAATACAGCGCAACCAACTTACCAGCTGTTACCCACTCCAAGCAAGGTCAGCCTGCCCAGAGGTAGAGTTTCAATGGGACCTCCTGAAAGCCCATTACCAGTTAAAATCTAGCATGGCAACTCCAAGGGCCTCTACGCTTCTGCCCACAGCACCCTGGTGGATTTGCTGCCCGAGCAGCTCTACGTGGTTCCCCAGCTCTCTGTGGAAGCTGCTGCTCCTTGCCAGGTTAATTAAGCCTCCTCGTGCGAGAACCACTTACTACTTCCAAGTAGCCCTCTCCACACAACCGGGATCGGAAGCTTGCATCCCCTTCTGCTGACTTCCAGCACGGGCTCCCCATCCTTGCTCGCCCCATGCTGGCTGCTTAGACAGAGACAAATGGCAGCAATTCCTGAATGCCACGGCCACCTATATGGCATCCATATGGGGACAAGCAAGCACTCCTTGGAATGCTGCAACTCATTCTGGGTATGACATCGCGGATGGCTGTTGCTTAACAACATGAAAACAGTTTGCAGGGTTGGCGTTGCTTGCTAAAGGAACAGTATAATTTTACTGTGTATTGGTGAAGAGCAACAATCAGTGCCAGAAAGAGGAACTGCGCTCCAGCCGTCCAGGCTGGTGGCACCCTGAAAGCTTCGGTTTTGTTACGCTATGAATGAATTACCCGCTTCTGCTCATGTTGTTGCCACACTAGTGATCCAGGTCTGTGCTACAGCTTTATCATTTGATCAGGTGGGCTTAGTGCTCCTAGTTCGAACAGTGAAATTACTGAAACTTTCTTCTTCCAGTAACAAAGAAAAAAGGTAATATTCCTCAGTACTCATCTAATGGGCTTTTGAGAACTAGTTGCCTTCAAAATTCATTTGATAAACTGCACCGTTCTTCGGGCTTATCAAACCTTGTGGTTTATCAATACGTTGTAATAGATGCAAGTCCTTCTCAGACTGTAACAATGAGACAGTCAATGGTAATTTAAAGTTACCATTTCTGCATGCAGCATTTGAAAGGGCAGCAAGCAAGCGTGTGCTAAGCAGGGGAAAGCTGCTGCCCTTTTTATTTCTGGCTAGCTGTGTGTCTTTGCACAGCCAAGAACTAGGGCTTGATGAGAAAGCATTCAAATGTATACCCCCATTTGCAGCACAATTATAAATCTTACAAGGCAAGATGCATTTATCACCATCCACCGGCTTTAAAATATACTTACTTGTAAAGCTTTGAGTTACAACTGACATTTGCTAAAGGCAAACATGTAAAAAGGAGAAGCCACTTCCCAACCATGGAGATCATCACACGTAAGCAACCTGGGGATGTCCACCACAAGAAGCCAGAAGCACCGTGGCTGTGACCCATCAGAGACTTTTAAATAATCAAGCTGTATTCCCTTAGGAGTGCGTGGCACTTTCCAGACAGCACTTTCGTGGTTGTGACTGGCCCAAAATACCGTGCTCCCACTACCCGTTTTTCCACCATATAAGCTGAAATTTGTGTCAGAGAGTGCTGCTGTTCTCCCACTCCTAAAAATGCAGGGGTTTTCCCCTATCTCTTTTCCATTTTGCTGACTGTGCAAGTTTTCCCGCCACATAACCAGATTCTGGAAGGATTCAACCCGGCATGGTGGGATGCTGCGTGACTGCGCCGTGACGTCACTCCGCCATCAGAAAGCACACCAAGACAGACACGCACACACCACCCACCACGACCGCGCTGTCCTTTCCCCAACACCAGCTCAGGCAAAATCCTGGGTGCAAAGACTACCTACCATTAATGCGTAAATATCTTAAACTTCCTAACAGGTCCCCAGTAGATCTGCAGGCTTGCTCATAGGACTATATACTTAAACAAAGGAGAAAACAAAAAAAGGTTTCTATTTTTCTCCTGACATTCCTTGCTCTGCCTCACAGTGGGTATTCCACTGCCCTTCTACAGCCATGCAGTTGGTCATTTGCAGCTTGCTTGCACTGAAAATGCAGCAGATGCCATACTAAACCACAAAACTATCAGTGTCTGCTTGGTGGAGTGTACAAATTAAATCCATGTCAGGAGCAATGATTATCACCTTGATCGGTCAGCCAGTGAGCAGTTCTGCCACCCAGAGGAAAATGCTCGTGCCTTGTATCAGCTTTACAGAATTCAGTGGTTAAGTAGCTGTAAATTATATCCCAAGACTCAGATATGTTATTCTACTTACTGTATCCACCAAAGCCATGCTAATACTTCACTTCCCAAAGTGACCTCTTTTTTAGTGTATCAGACTGTATCCTGTTATTGCTGTTGGTTCTGGCACCCACTGCCTGCTCACAGTCTAAAATCTGTATTAATTTGCAGTATGGCATCCCCAGAAAACAAAGATTCAAATGCTGTATTGATTTACAGTATTATATCCACAGAAAATAAAAAAGAAAAAAAATAAAACCCCCCATCTTCTGCACCTTTGAAAGATTTCATGAAGCCCTCTCTTTGCCAACAGTATTCAAGATTCTGAAAGTCACTACAAGTTTAGCTGAAATCGAGCTAAGTTTAGATAAACCCCACCCATTGCTGAAAAGGTGACATTTCTTATGCTCTTTGCATTGAGGCAGCACAAAGGAGACAGCATGGACAGGTATTGCCTTTGGTAAGCATGCCCAGCTCTACTGACCACCAGTGTTAGGCCTGACAGTCCTTCACAGAGCTGGAGCTAAAGCTGCTATAGCTGTGAGTCTCCAGAAAAAGAATCAACTTTTTTTCCCCCCCCTCAGAAAACTGAGAGAAACTGGGAGAATATGTTTCTCAAAAAAGCATGTGATCTTATCAAAGTATTTAGTAAGAACCAAACTGACAGATCTTGCAATAAAAATGATGTAGTGAAATAACAACAGTATCTTAAACAGGATTAAAAAATAACATTTTACTAGTTATTTCAAAGAATAGATTTTTTCTTCCATCATTCTCATTTATATGTTCAGACTCTAGCTAAACTCCAAACAGCTAGTGTTAGTTAGGTACCAAGTGCAAATACGCCAAGATAAAAGAGTTAGGAGAAAGAAATACCTGGTCTTTTTTTTTTTTCCCCTTACCTGGCAGGCTACATTGCATGTCTCATACCTAAAAACAAGTACCATCTCTCAAAATATTTGGTCAGAAACCTCAGCTTGAAAAGGAGGTATTTGATAGAAATGTCACATTTACATCAGTATAACATGCAAACAGCTTCTGAAGACAAACATGAAGAGGAATCTCGTGGAGGAGAACCTGTGCAAGGGGAAAACAAACGCAATCACAGTAGCAGAAGTCCATTTACTGCCAGAGCAAAACCAACAGCCGTTGTCATCCGGTAGCGTGGTGAAACTTCAACTATAGCAATGGGGAAAGAATGATGATGCCAGTCATTTCCTTACTAATTGCACGCCTTTATCTGTTGACTATTCCTATCTTTCGAGAGGTATCCAGATTGTTCTCACAACTAGTTTGATCTTATCCTGAAAAAGAAGTTTGCGTAATACAACAGGACACTTTTCTCATGTGACTATATATCTTTTTTTTTTTCTTTCCTATATCACATTGGAGAAGAACACTGTGCTCTGTATTGCTAATGTCTTTTAGGTATTGGTGACTATGAACAGTGGCAATTCTCAGCTCCTTATTCCAGTTGTAACACAACACACGCACTACTTTGAGGTACAAACAAATTACAAGCAGGTGCCAAAATTTACGTAGTGTGTTTTGCAAGTAATGCTTACTTTAAAAGTTTTTGAAACAATTCTGTGTGTGCGTTCTGACACCCTTTGCCCTTCACAGATCTGTTTATGCATATTAGCCTCGTAAAATATTCCCTTTTTATCCTCTTCACCATCATCCATTTGTCTTTTCAGCAGCTTTATGTTCAACACTATTGGAATGGAATAGTGATTGTACCGTTTAACCCAACAGCTAGCTGGGCTTGAAAATATATTCATCCCCTTCCTATTAATTACTCTTTAATTCCTATTTCTGCTACACAGACTCGTGTATCATCCTGGTTTATTTTGGAGGAACATAGCCATAGGATGACAATTATTGATGGAGCATAAAAGAACTAAAGACCGTATAAAGAAGAAGACAGACCTGATGTGGGAAGAGATGAAAAGATGAAAAATGGACTAGAGAAGAAAATTGGAATGAGCTAATTTACAAAAGAAAATGAACAAACCGCGGCCAGGTAACTCCAAATAAGATTAATTGCTACACGTTTCCTTCCTCTTTGCAACTTTTATCTTATTTAATCTTCTATTCCACTTTTCTATGTAGCAGTGCTATACTCTTATAAACTCCGATTCCACTCTTCCGTAAGGTTGCTAGCTGGGTGTTGAGTGAGATCCTCTGTTCGCATTAACTGGTACATCACTATCGACCTTTGGTATTGTTACTCAAATTTAAGCCAGCCGAGGATTTGCTCCATTGACTTTCATGGATTTATTTTTAATTCATTACTCTGAGTTCAGAATAAAGAGCTCTGGATATAAATCTTGAACATAAATAGACAATTTCCAAATCTAAACAGTATAGCCACAAGTACCATACAGAAAAACAAGCTAGGCATGTATAGAAGTGTCTGAAAAGTTAACCAAATGTTGCTGTGGATTTATTAGTAGTTTACTGTTTATTAAACAATAAATCAAGATCCCGAAAACCTGATTAATTTAAATGAAGTATTGTTTAGTGAAATGGGAGCCTGTCAAAATAGTTGTTGGGGAGGACAATTAATTGGTACAAATGTGAGTGCAAATTTTGTTTTTAAACTTTAAAGCGTGTTGTTTGTAGTATACAACGTATGTGCACAATACAAATTTCATACATTTTCCTCAGTGACAATAAAAAGCGCAGTTTATTATAAACTGAAGTAAAAATTAAAATAAAAAATAAAATAAAATCACAGTTTTGTCATTGGTATGTGAAGGTTGTTCCAAGGGCCCATCCAGAGCTCCTCTTCATCTGACTGTGTGTGTTCACTGTGCGACTCCAAGGGCTCTTTGACATCCTCGTTATCAAGAACCGATTCTTGCTCTTCTGTGCTTTTCATTTTGGAGCCTCCTGGCTTCGTTACTATATTTTCAGCCCCTATAGTAGAGGAAGCAAATGAGACACTGCAAGGTCTTGTGTTCATTTTATCACTAGAAGACGGTCCCTTTGACAACGTGTTCAGTGGGACACTCTCCTCATGTGTCACTGCAAGCTTGTCCAGTTTCTTGAATTGTTTCCCCAGCCTCACTGGAGATGTGACTTTTAAATTATTACCAAGGCAAACACGACGGGTTCTGACAACAGAGCCATTCTGTGCAATGTAGATGTTACCGTTGATGTTGTTTTGAATATTCGGGTTACTAATACGATTCCTCTGGCTGGAATCGGGAGCGCTGTCTTCTCCAGTGGAGCTGGTCTCATACTCTGGGTCGACTATCAGCTTGATCCTTTTCTTTCTGGCCCACTGTTTGACAATAAATAGAAATGTCGTTAAATCTCGGCACTATTTCTTACATTTTCCTGTCCTTTTTCTACCTGTTATTTCTCGTCTTTTATCTAGACACCCATCTGAATTTTTATTAACTTGGTCTTTTGTATCCTTCCTCTTAGGGTATACACAGATATTTCTTAATTGTTTTGATTACCACTGTGTGCCCTGTCATATATACCCAATGCTTGAACAGGCCAACAATTCTTTGTACTAAGAAGTTGTAAGACAGATAAATTCCTTTTAGTTCATGAACTTGCATAATGTGAGTCAGATGAGAGTGTATAAAACCTGTGATGTTTTTCTTCAGGTTTGGAACATAGTGACAAATTTGTTTTGTTTTGGGTTTTTTGGTGGGTTTTTTTGGTTGGTTTTGTGTTTTTTCGTTTTTGTTTTTTTCTAAAGATTCACTCAGCTGTGCTCCTGTTAAGTCGAAGTGCACTTTCTTTGGTGAATCCTGAGAATGGAGACGTTACTTTCTGAAAGGAAACTTCTGTAAATCACGATATTGGTAAGCCAATATTTTGACAAATGTCTCAGTCTGTCTAGCAAAGAGAGTTGAAAAACAACTAGATTAATAACCCCTTCTAACAGGAACAGGAAGGCACTGATGATGAAGCCATTGTGTAAGTGATACTTCTAAGAAATTACTGTACTAATGGGTAAATGCTAGGAAGGCCTGAGGAGTTTTCTTCCAGAGTATTACTACATAGTAAATTCAGTGCAGAAATGGCGTTGAGCAGGTCTGGTTTATATGCGCAATGCATCAAGCAGACAAAGATCTCGAGACCTACACAAGGGAAATTCTCAGGCACGACGTTGGCAAAATTGGCCGGTTAAAAAAAAAAAAAAGCTTGACATAAGGCTTTGTGCCAATTCCAATCTAGTGGAATCAATGGAGATGCTTTGCTATTAAATGGAAGACGGTGGAGAAATGAAACTTTGGATTTTTATATAATTTGTATTTTTTAAAGAGTTAATGTGAACAATTTCCATGTTGCTGTGACTTTGTACTAACAGTGATTACACAAAGCCTATTACTTATTTTAATTTATAATTGATCTTTTTAAAATAAATGCCTCCTTGCAGTACACCGAAACAAGCTACTATCATTCTTGAATTAATAATGAAAATTCCATTAGTTCACTAAGGCAGCAGATACCATCACAATTACCTCCCACTGCAATACATACACATGCATGCAAGAAAAAACAGTTTTTAGAGAAAGAAAATCATGCAAGGTACAAGCAGGTGGTGATTACTCTCAAGCTTTTGAAAAGTTACACTTTGTTCAAATTACTTAGATGTCTATTCGTTTCTTCCTGATAAAGACATACAATTTTCTTCACATAGATATATTCAGATGACTGAAAGGACTGACTAGTTTAAATGGGATTGACATTAAAACACTGTGTACAGCCACAACTTTGTGCTATATGGCAATACAAAATGTAGGCAAGCAATCATAAATCTAGTGTGCATTTCAACCGGAATTAAAGACAGTAGTTGAAAAGTTAGTATCACGCTTTGCAGCTCAACACCAATTGTCCTGTCAGTGTAACTCCACAGCAGGTTCAAGTATCTTAGAAATTCAAGCATTTTTCTCTCCCCATCTCACAGAGACTTCCTGGCAGAGCTTTGCTGCGTACGCCAGAATTTGTACTAGCTTTAAGGTACTCACTCACAAGACTAATCCAATACTGGCTCAAAGCTTTAATTTTATGTAGGCTGCTTATTACTTATCTGGATAAACCTAGTGGTTGAGCAACAGTTCTGTGGCTTTTGATACACAGTAAATAAAGCACAGATATAGATTGCATACTCTGTGTGCAGACAGCACGGGTAAGAGCTCCATGAGGAGGTACGTCGTGTCACGCAGAGGTTGCTTCTTATAGCAAAGCACAAAGGCCACTTGTGCTGTCAATAACAGAAGTCCTTCCTAAGCAATCATGCTCATTCTGAGCAGAACTGTGCTAATGAAAGTGCTACAAGGTACCTCTACTGAATGATATCAGATATTACAGGTTGTTGAATTTTAAAAGGCAGATACAAAAACATAGAACATAGGTGATGGTTACCTTCAGCAATACTCTGCTGTTATGCATCTCAAACTTTTAAACAGATGTTTGTAAAAAAATTAATAAAATCAGTGTACTGCTAGGTGGGAAGGGCAGACGCTGGAAAATGTAATCCGTTTCCTTTTCTGACCAAGCTCACTTTGTACACCTACCCCTGCATCCCTGTCTTGTACATCACTGGTATGCGAAACCCAAGTCCCATGAATCACAAACATTTTAATCCCAGCTCTGCCAGTAATACTCTGTGGTTTTGGGAGTGTTGCTTTGCTGTAATTTCAGCTGTTCTCCCTGCAAACAGGTCTAACGTTTGCAGCAGAGAGCTCCTTTGAAGATTAGCAAATGTTGTATGGTGGGGGAACATAAGGTGAAACCATGTATGACTTCTCAGTCTTTTCATCCTCATCATCATGCCTGTTCTTCACTGAATTCCATGTTTTGCCCTCTTGCCTTCCTCCAGCGTTCCGTTTTGTGACAGACATAACCTGCATGTGTTGCATTTTGTGACAGACATAACCTGCATGAACACAGGGCCCTTAACAGGTTGTGCCATCAGGTTCGTCCAGCTATCGGTCCCAGCTAACGCAAAATGCAGTGTTACTTTGCTTCACAATATGCATAATGCAAAAAGGATTAAATCTAAGTTTCAACACAATACCTCTTTAACTACATTATTGAAACCAGCAGAGAAAAAGTAGTAGTCCTTCCTGCCATTGCACAATGAAAATTAATCTTTCTATATTCACCACTAAGTATACCTGAGTAGTCTCTCAGAGAAATTACATTAGTTTGGTTTTCTACAGTTTTATCCTTTAGACAGCACATAGGGTTCAAATGCTGAAGCAATAAGCTTTGACATTTTCTTTTTGGCTGTCTCTAGTCAAGTGCATATTGCTTAGGAAAGACCACACAGAAGACACAGCAAACAAGATCACTCTTTACTGCAAAACGTCCACCTACTGTTGCTCCTTCTTAAAAGGACGTAGAATCACCCGTAGTCTCTGACTCAGTAATGGCAGCATCCAGAGTCTCATCTGACTGAGACTGACTGTTTTCCTGGGACATATTCTTTCTTATTTTCTTTCTTTTCATGTTGGTGTCAGAACTTTGATTGTCTGTATCAGGGGAAGTAGCAGTTTTACTAGAAGCGGTGCTAGCTGTGCTTTTTGTCCCTTCAGTACCTTTGGAAGTAACACTGATTTCACTTCCTAGGCAAGAAGATTCATTCTTACTGATAGTTTCCTCCCTGTCACTAGCATCTGTATCAACCTCTTCTGTGCTTTCATCCATGCTATCCTCACCACTAATAGGTGATTTTCCTCTCTTGTCTTCTTCAGTAGCAGCAGTTTTTGCATTGGCAGATGTTTCAGAAACTGCTTTATTTGAGTTATCTGCTATCTCATTGGGGCTTGCGCTGACTCGCTCCACATCTGGTCGCTCATCTTCTTCTGACACCTCTTCTATCGTGTCTTCTATTTCAAGGCTGGCAGAGGTGGTTTTGCTCTTATAGCTGGATCCTGAAGTTCTCCTGTAGCTCGTGTCCCTGTCACTATCCGATGCATTAGAGCTAATATTTGATTTCTGGCTGGATCGCCTCGCTTTGCGATGAGAGCTACCTCCCCTACTTGTTATACTGGACCTTTCAGTGCTTCTTCTACTGCTGGACTCACTAGTCCCCGATTTGCTGTATGAACTTTGCGTAGATGAGCTCTTTGACAGGCTACCATCTTCATCACTGTCAGAGTTTTCCTCATCATCGTCCTCTTCAGATGAGTCCTCCTCTGATCCACTGCTAGAGCTGGATCCAGAGTCATCATCAGAATCCCCAAAATCGTGCCCAGTTTCTTCATCTGAGTCCACAGTACTTTCAGTGGCTTCATCTTGGTCCAGAGTTACTTTCAAGTAGTCTTTATCTTCTGACTCCGAGCCCGAGCTACTACTCTTCACAGATGATTCATCTGAAGTGTATTTTCTTCTCTTCTTCTTCTCCTTCTCATAATCACTATCCTCATGTTCACTCTCTGCTGTGATACTTATTGAAACTCCTGATTTTTCTTTACCTCTTTCATAGTCTTCCTCTCCTTTTCCTCTTGCATGCACTGAATCTTTGCTAATAGGCTCTTGAAATTTTCTGGAGACACTAACGCGTTTTAACACATGATTTAGTTTTCTCATCGAAGGTCTGTCATCTGTCGGTTTCTGGAAGTAACTTCCCCTGATAATCATGCTTTTCTCACCGTCCACTTGGCGAGCTGACATCAACTTGGCATAACTGGAATCTTTCCTACCAGCCTTCACTTTCTGCAGAATCATTGGGAATATCTTTGCTTTCTTCCACGGAGAATGAGCAGACTCAGTTCTTCCTACTGGTTTGTGAGAACTGACTGCTACACGACTTAAATGCATCACTGCTTTTAGTTTCCTTTTTCCCTGGCTGGTCCTATACGCTCTTCACATCCCACCATCTAAAGGTCTACCTTCTACTTGAGCCCCTGCTCTCTGGCTTATACCTCTGCTTGAAGGACCTCTGCCTTGACTCATCCCCTGCAAATCATGAAAATGGAACTTGATTACAATTTGGAAGGTAGTTATTGTGAAAACTTGTACCCTAAAATAACTCAGTAGGAACAAATGGAACATTTTTTCCCAGCATCAAAACTACTAAAACCTACCTGTTTTAGAATAGCTTTTGACCAAAGTTGTGGGGAAAGTTCTACTTCTAGAACAGGCTGCAAGTGCACAACTACCTTACTCTGCAACAGGGGAAAATACTGGCTCAGAAATGTTATCTCTTCTCATTTAATTAAAACCCATGTGATGGATTAAGAGTCTAGTACTTCTGAAAATCAGATTAAAAAAAAAGGAACATTTATGTCAACTTTCTTCTGGCTGCCACTGACATTTTAAAATTTCTTTACAATCAGCTGTGAACTTTAGGATAAATCAGCTTAGGTGACTGCTTTTCGCAGTGGAAAACCACCAGTTATAGGCTGAATATTAGTAATATCCCATTTGGTTAACAATATAAAATGGAATTACCAAAAGCTATGTGGATTTTTCATTGAGCTAGAAATCTACACTGAGGGAGAAATAGATGTGGCTATTAAAAGAAACTTTGCAATTCCTTTTTATTTCTAGAAGAAGGGGAAGAGGTGCTGACACAAACTTCACTGGTCATCAGAAGGGCAAACAATGATTAGCATTGGAAGAGCTGCTTATTCGCTCTATACAGAACACAATACTCTAATCAATTACAGAGGACATTTGACAGGGTTTAATGGTCCTTCATCTTGTTGCAGAGACAGAATTAACACATCAGAGAGGCTTACCTCTTCTGCTGTCGATCCATGCGGACTATAGTAGTAGCCACCGTCATTCTCCACCACAACTTCCCCATACTCATCGTACATCCCTGAAGGAGACAGCAATCGGCGGCGACTCCCATACTGAGGCAGTTCATACCTGGCAAAAACACCATCGTCCCCTCGTAATGTGCACCAACGTGTTCACGTGTCTCTCCACACATAGCAACAAATGCACATGCTCACATCCCGAGAGGACAAGAGTTTCTTTGCTCTCTTTTCTCTCTACCTTTGAGAAGCTTATTATGCTTTTTTCCTTAGCGTCAGCACAATCCAAACCCTCTTCCCATTGCAACGGGCTGTACAGCTAGAGGGCGACCCGAACTGCGAGGTCTCTGGGATCAGTCAAGAACCCCCCAAGTGCACTGACCTTCTTTCCAGGTACCAGATTTTTGGGGGGATCTTTTTTTATAATTACAAAATGAAAGAGCAGGTTCCCTGGGATCAGTTCTGGAGAATCCCTGTGAGCTTCTAAGAATAATTGCTTGTAAGCAATAATCCCTGAAGTGCTTGCAGACAGATGGGCATTATCAGAACAAGGCAGGATGATGTTTTTCTAGGGAAACGTAAAAGGCCAGATGCTGGTTGGGAACTGTGAGCAGAAAGTATCAGTCACTGAACTTGGGCTGGTGAGCCACAAAAGGGGAGGAGATGGTGAAAATTAATTTCCAAGACAGCAGAACTATGCAAGTAAAAAAGTGAATATAAAACCAGAATGATAGATGGGGAATACACTCTGCAAGCATAATAACTGGATTCCTAAAGAAGCAGGAATTATACAACTCCCCCTTAACTTTTAAAAAGAGTTTTGTTGTTAGTGTGCACCTTTGTGGACACAAAGATTAAAGTAATCCTGAGGTTCAGCAAAGTCTCCAGATTAGATGCTGTAATAATAAACATCACCAACGTGGAAAAGCAGCATTTTCAGAAAATATATAGGAAAACTGAAAATATACCCATGCTCATAACTGTAGTAATCTTGCCCATAGTATTCCTGCCCTGGATCAATTCCAGACTCCATACTTAACTCCTGTCAAAAGAGAAACACTGACTGAACGCAAACAGTTACACACAGTAATAACTGATGAAAGAGGTGCAAAGAACGGTATCTTAAAGTGCAAACAAGCAAAATAAAAAAGGATAATAATTGGAGAAACATTGACAACTGTTAAGAACCACAATGAGAAGCCAACAGGGGCTTTAAATGACCCCTTCCCTGGTTGTACTCCCTGGGAGTGACCATTCTAAGTCAGCTAAACTCAGACACTGTTCTGGCGTGGCACACTGTCTCACTTATCCTGTACAAAAACCTCATTCAGTAAACTGGACTCACAGCAAATACGCTGTCACTTCTTGCGCCTCTTCTCAAAGGAAAAAGCTGTGTTGAAAGTTTAGGGCTATTTTACTTACAGTGTTTGTCAGGTCTCTCTTTTTTTTTTTTTTTTTAAATGTTTTCCGAACCATCAACAATCTTGAGCAGCATTGGACTAAGCCAAGTACTCGTCTGTATCCTACAAAAGCACCAGCGTGTCCTTAAGCTCCTTTCACGCACTGTTTGGTACCAGTCTGCTCTGTGGAACATCTCTAAACTGCTGTATCGACACAGAACACCAGGGCTTGGGTTTTGGCAAGGGACTGCATGTCGTCTCTCTCTCACAGCTTCCTAGGGGTTTTTCTCCTGTACAACGAATTTAAAGTTGTGTCAGAGCATCTCATTGTAATTCCTTATAATGACTGCAGAAACGATCACCGTTCTGTACCACAAATACAATACCATCAATAGCAACCTCTCACAAAAGCTACATTTGCTCTACTGCTTATTCTGCAAACGATATTGGGTCTAAAGGATGTGAAATAGAAAGTACTGGGTTTATAATCCAGAGCGGCCTTTGCACTTCGCAGCAGCGTGCTAATGCTTTCATTACCTTGGCAGGCCAACCGCTTTGTTCATGTTTAGGTACAATAATCAATTATCAGTTGACTGACATCTGAAAAAATAGACTGTGGTTGGACAGCGAGGAAATTACTCTGTCGCTGAGTCTGGACACAAAACTAGGAAAGCTTTCAGTCCCTGTGATGAGGTCCACGGGAGCAACTAAAAGATGCTCAAGGGGAAAATACCACAACGTAGTAAATTTAAAGTATTTAATTACAGCAACGTAAATAGGGTAACAATGCCAGGACTCTTCTTTTCATCTAATACAGCCAGGTGGAAAAATATTACCCAAGACAGACAAGTTTTTATTAGGAAATTATGTAACAGCCATTTAAAAAGTTATAGAATAATTAAGAAATGCAAAATAGTGGTACCTCTGGTCTGAGAAGAGAAGGTCTCAGCAACTGCTGTTGCTACAAAAGAAAATTAGAAAGGGGTTAATTAGGCAGCAACAATTAAAGTGCAGGTCATTTGTGTTTGAGTTAAGATTGGAAAAAAATCCTAAAAACAGAGAGCCTTTTGTACAGCAGCCACCTGGATACTTCCATACTCAGTGGGAAGTAGAACACTGCTAAACACCTGATGTAGTAAAATCCCTTTACAGTCCACTATTTATTTTGCCCAATATAAAATGAAATTCCCAGTTTATGTGGTCACTCTCTAAATTATTTAACTCAAGAACTTCTGTCAGAGCCCAAGAGAACTGTTGCGTTGTGTACGTTGGAGACAGCAGAGAGACGATGGCAGACATAAAATTATCCGCAACAGGTAGAAAGCAAATCTGTGGGAATCTGCAGTAAAGTCTGTGATCCAACTGTTAAAAACCTGAAGTGATTTGATTTCTTCTACTGCAATACCATCACTTTAATTCTCTATCTATATTTATGTACTTCCGTGGCTTTTAACCGAGTACCTCCCAACATAAATACACTTTAATTCACAATACCAATAAGACACTGAAGGATTATCTCACTTGTTTTCTCTACAGCTTATGTGTGATTTCTTTCTGTATGTGGCATGCAGTGAGAAAAGCATGCCGACGTGAGGGAAGAGACCCCGGGAGGCTGCACAGAGAGGAACGATGGGACGATATGGCTCCTCGCAGGTGTGTCACAGCTAAACATGGGTCATTTTTCGTACTCATGTTGTTAATTACTCTGCAGCTCCAGTTTTCTGCAAATGACAGACTGGTGCACTTCACTTGGTGTTTTGTAAATTAGGATCAGGTTTAATCAGGAAAATCAGGACCATTTGTCCCCACACTCCTCCCAAAACTTGGGTGGCACTGTTTCAGCCAAGTTTCTTGGCCAAAACCAAACCCTGAGAGACGAGGAAGCTCTGTATCTGAATTAAGACACAAGTCAGCTCTGCAAAGTGAGAAAAAAATCACAGTAGAACAACAGAAAGCTTGCAATTTGTAAAACACTACAGAATAAGGAGCAGTAGGCTCCAGATGCACACCTTAAGATTAGCAAAACTGATCCCGCTCTCGGCAGTAAATATCAGCCTTTATGATAGAAAAGTATTTCGGAGGACTTTCGATTGCTGGATGAGTTCGTTCATATTTCTGAAGGAAACGCTCCATGTTATCCATTGCTGGAGAAAAAAGATGCTGCAAGAACAGCAGACTACACCGAGTTGCAGAGGTCTGTGTAGCCCAGTACCAGGCCCATGATGGAGGGCAGTGGCAGATGATGAGGTGTGCCATCAGAAAACATGAAAGTGTGCAGGGGAACTGGTTTTGGCAGTTTGTTGAGCCGCAGTCTCCTAGGCTGGAGGTTACGTCTGTGCCGTGATGGTTGCTAGCCCCCAGTAAATCTATGCCTCGTCAGCTTTTTGAACCACTTTATATTTCTGGCCTCCAAAACACCCAGTAGCAATGAGTTTCACAACATAGGCTGTATGGGAAAAGTATGCTGATGTAATTCATATTTTAAACATAACTGGGGAACAGCCTTACCTCTTGCTGTGCATATCCTCGCCTAGAAGTCAGAAAAAGAAAAAAAAAAAAATTAGTATACTTCTCTGAGACTATATAAAGATGCATATTGCCATTCTTTCTGGAGAGAGGTGAAAAGATAATGTGATTAGAAATATTACTAGCAAGAAAAGAAATGCATATCTACAAACCAAAATGTTTTTCTTTAGATTTGCTCTGGACACGCGAATTATTGCATGAGAAAGGCTAGTGAATCTTTGGTATCTTTTCTTGCTTTAAGATTGCAAATGAATGAGAAGAAATCCCCAATCCCCAACAGCCAGAGAGCCAGTGCACCCAGTGGAAGACAGCGAAGGGAAGGGCTGAATGCTCTGTTTGGTTTTCCTTGCGCTCCCGTAAGAGGGGGCCGGCCCAGGCACCTTCTCTGTTTGTCTCAGAGACTGTCTACAAATCTGACTGCACGCATCTGCTTACGCAGTGAAACAGTTCCTCTTCTACTTCTGGACTTTCTGTATCCACTCGGGACTTGCTAGAAGTTGGCCTGGAGGTTCTATTACTAATTTCTTCTTGTAACAACATTATTATTAAAATTACACATTTCCTAACATTTCCTCTGCAGGGTGGGGAGGAGTTGAATTATTTTTGCTACCTATGATTATTTTGCCACAGGCTTTGTACTTTTGATCTGATTGGAAATTTTTTGTTGTTCTTTTAATTCATTTTCTTGGAGCCATTCATATGCATGACAAATGCACTTATGTCTATCAAGTTCCCTGTTTTCACACTTTGTGCCAGAAAATTAAAATGGTTTAGACAAAACTAGGGAACAGCAGTTTAGGTCTTAGCATTATTATTACGGATAAGCCTGCATTTTTTTCATTTCTTTTTTTAAGGAGGAAAGGGTAAATGCTCAAAATTATGTTGAGCTTAACCTAGTACTCAGACAGCAGTCTAGGGAAATTCTTTAATTACATTTGAGTAAATAATAAAGAACAGAGTAGAAGTCCTTTTAAGTCTTTAATATCACCATCTGTAAAGTTTTCTATGAATATTCAACCCATGGAATTGATTATCAGCATTAAATTAATGCTGTTGCCCATATAATACAAAACTAATGAACAACTGAAACGAAGATTTGTCATCAAAAGATGCTCTGTGACTTTTCAAAGCCCACTTGAGGAACACTGTATTTAGTCTCCCTATCGTCTACAACAATCTTCAGATAAAGCCGGTCTTTTGTTGCACAGAGGATAAGTAAGCCTATTAATCTTAATTGCTCTCGAGTAATCACTATATTGCAGATTAAAAGCATAATATAAGTAATTCTCATTCAATTTGGAATTCAACTTTCTTAAAAATAGCACCACGCTGTGCTTTGAGAGATGCTGACACTTCCCTCATAGTTTTGTGTGGCCATGATTAGAAGGAAAAAAAAGCCCCCAAAAGATGAAAAATACCCATTCACTCAATACAGCACAAGGATCTATTCTGACAAAAAGGTAAAGGTCAAAAAAATACCATTTGTTTCCCGGAAGGAATTAAAGCTCTCCACTGAGGGAGGAATTGCTTCTGGATAAACGTTATCAGCCAGACTTCACTGCAGTCAGTCAGAGAGAAATCTTCAGTGCAAAATGGGAAGCAAGGACATAGTGCCTGTGATGATGTAGGACAACGTGACAGCTAGTATAACACTGCTGGTACTCAATGTGAAAGATAAAACAAGAATGAATTTACATGTACAACATGTGCCAACCTTCCACAGGTCTGTATTGCTAACATAGGTTAAAGGAACTGTGATTTGCCTAAAGCAACAATTTTCCCAATTACTGGCATCCCAGCAGGCATTTGCTATTTTGTAATTTATATCTGTTTTCATATTAAAAACAAAAGCACCACAAACCCCAAATACTACAGATACTCTTCAGAAGAGGCAACTGCCTATCAATTTGCCCTGACTCTTACAATGGAGGTTTCCTGCAGTTCATAGCTGGAACTGAGGAGAAAGAATCTGGAAGGGAGACGAGTAATGATACACTACAGCTTGATTTCAGCTTTGCAAACGGGTTTGCAAAGAAGTGCTCTCTGCTGAGAGCAGCAGCCTCTGCTCCTGCTCAGAACTCAGCCCCGTCCAGCTGATGATGAGAGGATGAGAGATATATCCAGGGTGACACCTGACGCTACTGAACCAAATCGGACAACTGAAGAGGGGTCAGTAAGCTTATACAGGCTCCTTCTTACGAACTACTACATTGGTTACAATATGTCGCAGTGTTGCAGAACTGCAGCAGCATCCAGACATCTCAAGGGGCCAGAACTTCCTTGGGTTAGGTTAAAAGTACATCCTTGGTAGGGTCTCTTTCCTGGTCTAATGGAATGATTTTTTTTTTTTTATACAAAGGCTATTCAAAAAACCAGCAGGAGAACAAAGGTTGCATTAGTTCCAGAGAAAATGAAACTACGTTTTGTAAACTTGTCAACTTAATAAAGGTTTCCAGAATGGGAAAGTAGATGTTCCTCATTAGTGAAGAGCTCATTACCATGACCCCCTCAGACTCTTCCGAGACTGATGAAACTAAATATTTAAAAAGGAGCGCCTGTGATGCCCATTCTTTCTGCTTAAGGAATGCCACGAATAATGGTAGCCGAATAAAACCTTTGGAGTTTATGCTGTGAATTACTAAAGACCTGCAGCTTTGCTGCGTCACACTAGGCACTGCAAAATTAGGTCATATTTGTCTAATATTTCACTAGTGATGTAACGAACTTCACAAAAGCATCTCTTACGGGTCTACAAGCTCTATAGTGGGATTTGGGTACTTAAACTCAAATGTCTGTCTTAGGGTTGGCCCACTCTGAACATGCTGAGCGCAGTAATTTCTCATGCTCATCTCCGCACACCTTCCACTGTCCCACTGCCTCCACACCTGGACCATCGCAGACACACAGAAGCAAGTACAGATGTAAGCCATCTTCCGATTCTGGCTCTCAAATCTTCAAAGTTTCTCTACCTAATAGCTGCTGAACTTCGACAATTTGCTGCTGGTGCTGCAGTAGTGGCACTCTTGCAGAATTTAGCATCATCGGCAGGTATTCTACACGCGTGCATCTTGTACATTAGTTACAGCAAAAATGTGATGATCGATAATCATTCCCCTCACACATCTAGCTACTCTACATGTCTTGGAACTACAGTCTAGCCCAACAAGAGTTTTAAGCAAAGAAAAATTCTAATGTATCAGTGAAACTTATGTGATGAATTTCATGGAGTTTGGCTCTGGGACAAAGAAAGAGAAGCTACTTTCAAGAAGTTTCTGACTGAAGCAGCCATACATGTCCTAACTGCAGATTTAAAAAAAAAAAAAGAGGAAAAAGCCAAGCACCATGGCAATGCTGCATATCTCTAGACAGTCTGATAAATAATGAATTACCTTTTTGCTCAGAATTGCCATATTAGACACAGATATGTTGAATTTTGGCAAAGGACTTGCAAGGAAACTTGCAAGCTGAACCAACTAACGTCTGTTTAAATGCTAAAACTGCTTTTACTTACCATTTTTTTCAAAGGACAGGCTAATTTGCTATAATAGACATATTTCATGTAAAGGTCTGATTCAGTTGACTGCAAGCAAGCCAGTAAGTAAATCTGTATTATGTGGATTTTTACAAATACTTGAAAAATCTTCACTTGGTGACACCTAGTCAGAGTGACTTTATTACAGTTTAAGATAAGCGAGATGTTTCAGCTGTAGAGCTCATGGCAAACTAGCATGAAAGTTAGAGAGACGCCAACGACATGCACATGCAAAAATGAAAAACAAACAAATGCTTTGTACATTAAAGACATTTACAAAATAAAAACTTTTAACATGCAGTTGCAATATAAAAAAATGCAATGGAAGGCAGAATGTAGGTAACAGGAGGGAAGACAGCCAGGTTTACTGACAAATGAAGACAAAACCCTTCCTCTGACTTGAGGTGCAAACGTGAGCTGAAAGAAAGCACGCCAGCGTAGCAGAGCGCTGCGTCATCTCCCACCGAATACGAAGACGCATTATGGCAATAACTCTGGCTCACTATTGCTCAGCCCGCTTGCTACCAGTACTTGCTTTCTTTGACATCCATTATTTGACAGTAAGATTCCTCCCAGGTGGTACATTTTATGGGCAAAGCAAGAGATTCCAATTACAGCTGCAGAAAAATCACTCTGCTTACTGGTATTACCTACAGTGAAGGCTGCTTAACATAAAGCAGTATCGAGCCCTCTGCCGTCTGTGACCGATCCTTGGGTAAAAACGGACAGTTTTCCCCAGGATTTTTTGGTAAACAGGCTAAGAACCAGCATCATAGAACAGTAAGATGTAGCTCTGAGAAAACAATTTGTAGAATTATTAATACATTACAAATTTCCAAGTGAACAGGAAAGACAATGTCTCTAAATTTGGGATTAGGACTGAATAAGTAGTGATACACAGCAGAGAAAAGGAAAAAGTCTCAATTTCTGGAGAGTCTGAGGCAGATACCGTGTGCTGCATTAGAGTCATCTCTCTCAAAATGTGACATGCAGAAAACATCCAACCGTAAACATTACAGCGCTGTCGACTGAGAGGGGAAGCGTTTCTCAAGCTCCTCCACAACACAGCTCAAGTTGCCATTCTGCTGGTTGTGCTCAGCCACAGCTTCTGGAGTTGGCAGCTCTGGTGTTGCGACTGGTTTGAACTTAGAAACGTGCTTGGGCAGAACATGGTTTTTGTCTATTTGGCTGTACATGTTGGCCACAGACTTTTCGATCGCAGCTAAATTCTGAATGTTTTTAAGAATACCTTTCAGCTCCCTATGGGGAGGAGGCTCTGGCACTGTGGCCGGTGGTGGTACAGCTGGCTGTTTGGCAGGGGATTTTGAATGCTTGGCAGGGGAGGGGTGCTGGGTGCTAAGAGGAGATGAAGAAGAAGAGAGAGAAACTGTGGGCGGAGGCAGAGGATGCGGTGGCAACAGAGGAGGGGATGGAGGTGGTGGTGGCAGTGGAGGTGGCAGCAGTGGAGGTGGGGGTGGGGGAATTTTAGGCGGATCTGGAATGCTTTCTGTAACGTCTTTGGTCCGAGGAGCTAGAAAACTTTGGCAAACTGATTTCTTTATCCTAAAAGACGGAGGAGTTGGTTTGCGAGTTGGTGGAGGAGAAGGTTCTTCAGGATAGTCGTGGTGAGTGATGATTACAGAGGGGACCACGGAGGCCTCAGGTTCAACTCCTTCAGCACAAGGTGTTGGAGAGGGCAGAGGAGAACAGCGAAGGCATGGAGAAGCAACCACACTTTTGGGAGACTGCTCTAGCATGTTCTCTCCTTCTTGGAAACGGATGCTGTGTGTTGGCGATCGGATGGATTTCACATCAGGAGATTTCACTTGCTTCATTTCCTGCAAAGCCTGCTGCTCAAACTGTCTTGCCTTCTCTTTTACAGTTAACTTGGGGCCACTTATTTTTGGAAATAGCGGACTGCTAAGATCGACACTGCTACACTGATTTTCAGTTCCTTCATTCTCTGCTTTGAGTCTCTCCTGTTGCCACTGAATGGGGTCCATGATAACTGGCCTACTCAGAGAAACAGGTGCGTGTCTCCTAGGAACGTGAGTTGGTACTGTCCACGCACGGTGACTGCCTCCCAAAGAGGCATCTCTCAAGAGTAGTCTTGAAGGAGAAAGAGTATCAAGAGTATCATTTCTTTTCCGTAGAAACCCAGCAGCAGCGGGACTTTGAGTGACACCTTCCACGTATAAGGGGTTTTGTGTAGTTAATGGGTTCTCATCAGATAATAAGGTAATGTTACTTGAAGATTTGGGGAGATTATTGTTCAATGATCCATTGATATTAGATTGCTTGTGAGCCTCAATAGCACGGGAAGCAAAGCTGCTTATAACTCTCTGACGGTCTCCTTCTTCTAAGACTGACTTTTTTCCCCTGCTTTGTTGGAAATGGTAGAGAAGAAAAAGACTTGAAAGAAAAGAAGATAATCACATGTGAGGAAACATGCATGGACATAGATACTTATGAGAGAGCAAAAAAGAACGTATGATATGAATCAGAGCCATTAAACTACTTCTAGCAAACTACTACTATCCAACAGAAAGATCACATTTACTACTGGGCAAGACATTTACTTTGACATCTTCTTTAAGGGAGAAGGGCTTGAGAAGGAAGAAAAAAGAGTTTTCAGCTACTCAGCAAGTTCAAAAAGAAGTTAACCTCTTCTTAAAAAAAACCTTTAGATTTGAAAAGTATCAGTCAGTCAATACTGTACCCTGTCTTCCCAGTGACACAAAACATCAATGCTATGTAGTTATTCGATACAATTCCTCTGTGAGATAATATGGACTCATGGTATGTATACTGTATGTATGTATAGTTGTGTCTCCATAATTCAAATCACAGTGGCACTGTGTCGTACTGCACACAGCCACCACAGAATATTCACAAGGATTTTTAAGTTAAACCTATTGTATAATAATTGTGCATCAAAACTCTGCTATTCTATAAAACACATGTATGATTAGGCAGTCTTTAAACGCCCCTGCAGGGCCTTTTAAGGACTGGCCATAGGTCGGTCACACACAAAATTAGAATTGTGGTTTGAGCTGACAGTGAGCCTGAAACTGTGGCCCCAGGAGGAGGCAGTGGTGCACCCGGGCACACCTGAAGCGTAGACCTGTAGGGTCTTTGCGAGGTGGCCAACAGGAGCTGAAGCCAGTCAGCTGAGATGCATGTGAGACCCAGGCCATTCTCCTGATGCTGATTATTACCACGCTGGGCTTTGTTTCTTGCATTTACGCTACACATATTGACACAGAAGTATCAACATGTGGATGAATTTCATCCCTGCTCCGCCTTAAACCAAATGAAAAACCCATGCAGTTGGATTACATTGAATTTCTGCACCAAAAGTAGGAGGTGCCACCATTTTCTGGAATTCCTCTAGCACCTCTGAGCACCTCATTAACCTACCTTCCTCAAATATTTTTAATACCACAAACTTCTGAGCGTATTTTAAGATGAGCGTATTTTAAAATTGATACCCCCAAACTGCCTGCTAGAAAAGTGTGCCCTTAGAGCCTGATTTTAAATAATGCTCACCTGAGGCTGAAAATAGATGTATTTCTCACCAACCTGTGATAAATTTAAGACATTGGCCAATGTCAGAGCTAAAACCAAACCCCTTATCCTTTCAAAGAGCAGATTACCCTCGTCAGCAATGAGACTGAATCAAGATGCCTTTCCATGGCTACCGTATAGAAATTTGTTGTAATTAAACAGACGTGCTATCTATCATGGGGATGAAAAAAAAAAAAACAACAAACCAAACAACAACCCAAAACAAAAAAACAGTCTTAAAAAGGACACCTACTCTAAAAACCTCTCTGAAACAGTAAATGTATCTGTAAGGCTATGATGAGAACATGATGGCATAAGGGAACATTATGGTAGAAACGGGGTATAAAGATTGAATTCCACTTTTGTACAATTCACTTATAACTTCAATACCTCTGCCTAATGCTGGTACTCCACATTCTGAATGCCGTCCTTAAACACCTTCCCATTTTCTGCAGTTAAGCAACTGCAGCTAAAGTATAGGATGAATAGCAATGACTTCTACACACACACACAAATCAAAATACCATATAGAACTATTTTTAGCAACTTAAAGCTGTCCAATGTTTTCACCAAACCTTCTGAGTTAAAAATTCTAAGTCTTAACTCTACGAAAATTTGAGTCATATTCTTTAGAATTTAGATCAAAAAGGGCTAGGCAGGCTTTATTAACAAAGGAATAGGGGAAAAATTACATTTTCCCTGATTATGTGCATGTTGGAAGATGAAGTTTTAGACCTCCTGGTCAGATTGTTCCATTTTTTTCGGTGTTCCTTTTTCATATCTCAGAAAATATTACCAAATCTAAATGAATGGAAATTTAACCTCTGGTGGTTAAATATTCCCTAGCAAAACTGGAAGAGAAATTTAAATAACTAGATACTGGATAGGAGTTAATTAAGAGATATTAAATCTCCTCTAAGTTATTTAATATGTAAGAGTCCCCCGAAGGCCTGCATTTAGTAATGAAACACATTTGCTTCTTAACTTTTGTTTCATGTTTTCACTGGGAGATGAGCCGCACAGAGAAACTACAGCTTCCTAATGGCCACAGGGACCTGAGAAGACCGACGAGAGTACAGGGATCACGCTCCCATTTGCAGAGTCACAAAGGGTCGTACCAGTGAATACACCCTCCCCAAGCACTGTGGTTCTCCAAAAAACAGTATGCGTAAGGCTCGCCTTTGGGCAGAATCTAACTGTATGAAAAAATAATTGACTTTGCACTAATAATGAAGTAATTCTTCATTCTAAAGCAGCGTACTTTGAGGTTGGTCAAGCACCCCCAATCTATTTAGAGGCGAGAGAAATAAATGATTCTGAACTTGAAAGAAACCCTCCAGTAGAAGGCCCATGCAAGATGACATAACCTTTCTGCTACTGGAACAGATTATTTCAAAAGCTTCTCAGTTCCTTCCTTGCTGCACATGACACCTCTCAAGGGTGAGGTTATCCTGCAACCTTTTTCTGTTTAGGTATCTTAATCAATGAGAAACATCAGCTCACCAGTTTGAAGCACATTTCTGTAAAGCAAAAGAAGTGTACGTGCCTTGGAAGGCATTGTAAATAGCAGACAAGAAAGATTTTGCTTGCATCCAATGGTGAGATTACCATCAAGTGCATGAACCGAAAGCAAACCTCTGTGCATGCACTCACGTCTTGGTTTTGTTGGGTTTTTTTAAGACTACTTTAGAAATAATACCATTCAAGTTCAGCAATCATACTTCATCTCTACTTCCAAGAAAAGGATAAAGAAGCACAGAAGTATTGAAACTTCATAGTAAATGTCTTTCCTGTACTTGATCAATGGACAAATAAAATATGAGTTTCAGATTGCAAGGTTTAATGGGGATTACTGAAAGGAAAATTAACTAGCATTTCTACTAGCTACAAATATTAAGACAATGAAATGAGATTACTTACTGATGCCTATGTATCCAAAGACAGAGAAAAATGAAAATTATGAGACAAGGCAGATTTAAAACTAAAGAGCTTAGTTCCATTTCATTTGCTATAAACATCAAATTAACAAAACAAGACACAAGGCAGTACTGCAAATGAAAGATGACTGTCTTAGGACAACTACAGACAGGAAATATTGTACTAAAATTCATGACAAATGTTAATAAAAGGCTTTTCCCAAATAATAATTTCCTAAGGTATACCAGTGCCTTGAAATCAAATATTTGATAGAAAAAAAAAGATTACTTGTCATTATTTTTATTGAAGCATGTTATTTTCTTTAAAATCCTAAGGACTTTATTTTATCTTCTAAGGATTTTTACTAGTTTATGTTTAATAGATCCTTAGCATGATAGATATGAGTATATCTTAGCTGCATGCAAACACATCCATGAGGAAGATACTCCAGATATGGCATTCCTTTTGGTGCAATGAAAACTGTTTTTAGTCAAAATGAACACAAACCTAAGCCTCAAAGTCAATACTGAAAATCTGTAAATTTGCACCTGTATGTTGCAGTACTAAAACATAAAAAGAATATCTTTGCAGTTAAAAACCCAGCACGACGAGGCTTGTTCTGGGCTTAGCATAAGGTATTCATCAGTACCAAACACAGATTCATCCATTGGGATATCCACTTCCCACAGATAAATCAGCTTTATAACCCTGCCACTAAAATTAGTAGAAGTGAATCATTAATTTCAGTCGAAATTTAGCTAAATGCAAAAGAAATGGGAATGTCATCCAGCAGGGCACCTCACTGTACGTGTACGTGTACAGATGTGATCTCGTGGGGTTCACAAGCAGGAGTACTCACATTCAAAAACGTGACTATATGCTACTGTCGAACTTACGTTTTTCCTCCCTTCCTGCCCAAGCAGTAACACTTCACAAAGGCAAAAGGCCTGGGAGGAAATTCAGCAGTTCGGAGAAGCTACTCTTGCTTCCAGTATGGCTCCTCTATTTACACAGAAAAGCTCAAGCTCTGGAATTATTTCAAAGGCAGAGACTTCACTCATGGCCAAGAGTTAAAGCGGCAGTGACACGCTCTGTCATGCCTCCTTAACATTTTATAAACTCAATCACAGCATCTGGAAAATTTCACCTTTCTGAGCAAAACAAATAGCGATTGAAAATAGAGCAGAAGTTGGGCAACCCTCAACAACACCAGCAGCTCGCTCTCTACCTGCCTCCAGACATATTATTAATGCTATGCTCCCCAGTGTTACTTGGTTTGAAAACATAAACACAGATGAGTGCGGCAAGCTTATCTCCGCCCCCCCAGCACGACACAAATTAAAATTGGCTGTTCTCCACTGTAATATTTTCATACTGAGAATTAAATTGTCGTTGGAGTCCATAAACTTCAGATTTACAGAAGCATGAAAAGGTAGGCACCTTTGCAATATTATTATTTTATGAGCATATAATAGGTAAAAAATACATTCATTGAACTGCCAGTGGTTTCTCTATTTTGATAGTTCCTTTATTTTTAATTTCAATATTCAAACAGTTCCAAATTCAGAACAAAAGCCCCCACTTAACCCAATGGAATATTTCTTACTACAGCAAATGGGGACTTTTGGGGCAGCAATTGCATTGGATGTGTTTAGTCAGCAGCCTTGAAAAACATGGCATGCTGGCCTGGATTTGCAAAGGCACTAAAGGAGCCCAGTCCTGGCTCACCCTGGTAGCAACGGCCTGCTATAGGCTCTTGCTCTAGAAAAGAACATCTGGTTATACCTGCTTTTTGCCACCTTAAAAACCTGTTAAACATCCCCCCCATGCGCTACAAGAAATCCCCATTAGCAGGTTAAATTGTTTTTTCTCTCCTTACAGAGTTGCCCTATTTATTTTCTGGATGTCTGAGAACGCCAACCCGCTGCGGGAAGACCCCTTCATGAAGAAAAGCCTTTTTGACAATAGACTGCATGAAGCGATCTCCCTGGAAAGTGAATCATGGCTTCAGTCACTAACACGTTTATTGATGTATCACAAGGAATACTTACATGGTGCTGTCGCCAAGCTCTTCATAGAGGTTATTGGCAGCGGTGCTTGCTGGTTTGCCTGCTGGTAAAGCCATCTGGATTCTCGCAGTCTTTGCGCATTCAGCCTGTCGCCTTTGGTAAGCCACGTAGGGAAGGAGAAGTACTCATTAGAAACACTCTATACCCGAATATAACCCAAGATAGAAAGTTTTCTACGTTTTTTCCTGCAGTTTTCAAAAACATCCCTGTGTTTTGTCTTCAAAGAAAAGTAATAATGCAATAATCTTTTCCTGGCTTTTTCAGCTCCCTGTTATTTGTCCTCCCTTGGTGGAATCCCAGAGCTCCCCCTGGACAGAAACCTCCCGGCCAGCAGCATGTCACTGACGCAGCAGGTACTTCCCAGGAAATAACGTACGTGCTAGCTTTGACGCTGCTCTCGTTAGGGGGTTTACCTGTCCTGGCTGCCCAAGACTAACAGTGGAGCTCTTTGATCAAGTGCTTCACTCAAGTGCCAAGAAACTGTAATTTTAAACACAAAAAAGGCTCTGGCAAAGTTTAAGTTATCACTTACAACTCCTTTCTCATTAGTGTTGGCTGGGAAATTTCTGTCTCAATGAACAGTTTTCCCGAAAAAATTACTTTTTTAATGGGTGAATTCACAAAGAACCAGATTTCTGTTTTCTGTCTAGAAAACAAAGTCTGTGGTCCCTCATGTGCATAACCGGGGGAGCGCCACTGAGGTGATACTACTGCTCTACCTCACTTTAGTTTTGAGGGTGGTGGATACCTGATCGTTCCTGGGGAAGTCCCTCTATGCACTCTAGCGTGACATGCTCCTGCTTGCTTGAGAAATACCACACCATATTTACTTTGTTCTCTGCAGGAAATGGGCAATGTCCTGAACCACAGTATCTTTAATGCGTGCTAGTATGCAATAATGAAACACGCTGAGTAGCCATAGAAGTAACTTTTAACCTCGCCATACAAGGTGTTCAGGAGCCAGCTGGAGTATAGGAAGTAACTCTTACTGAGCGTCAACTACCCCTTCTTCTTAAAAAGAAAGACTGATAGGCTGTCAGTATTCCTAGACAAGCTGTCACAAACGAAGCTGAAAATAAGTACTTACTCTTTGAATCTGTTTTGTTATGCAAAAAAAGATAAAGAAATAAAAAGAAAGGTTAAATGAATTCCACTTGCAACAATTGTCCTAAACAGTGAACCTAACAGGAGTAATAAACTAGATGCTACTTAATTATTCCACACATAAAATTACAGGATTAATGACATGTTTCAAGAGTAATAATTTCCAGAGCTGAACAGTGTTTAGCTGCTATTTGTGATACTCTTGAAACAATTTTGCAGTCAGCAATGAATTACAGCAGGGAAAACTGCTTTGGGCTTACAGAAAACAACTCCCTGCCACCCACAAACACACACAGAGAAAAGAGTAAAGCATGAAAACATGACTATACCTTATTATATTTCTTTAGGAGGTGGACTACCAGGGATGCACTTTTGTAACTGTTTTCTCTTTTTAACATGTTTCAATAATGCTATAGAAAACAGCTTCGATAGTGAAGGTGTGTGATTTTTGGTTGCTATTTAGAAGATACCGACCTTTTGTGATTAATAAATAATACATTAGTTACAGTTACCTTATGGTGTTGTACTGGAGAGTGTATTTCAAATACACTGTTTAATAGAAAAGAATAATGATAGTTTCTGGCTTGTTTGCCAGTCATAAATGCAGACACTGAGCTTTGCACTTTAACAGTGATAATTTTACAAAATTAATTGAGTTTTCTTTTCGGTAACTATTATTTTTACAAAGTTTAGTAAGCTGATCGCTGTTCTGGAAAGCATGGAAAAATGGACCTACTGCACATAAAAAGTTTTAACAGTGAGAAAACCTTAACATTTTCATTATATGTGCTGCGAGTATGACAGTTACATTTATCCCGCTATAACCTCTACACTCAGTGGCAGACTGGAGGACCTGCTTTGCCAGAATGTTATCAGGAGAAATACCAAAACTCCTTTTGAAAAGGAGAAAAAAGGCTGCAATGCAAAAATGAACCATAAGGCTCAGGATAGCTTTTGGTGTTGATACTAACACCAAAATTACTTTTATTTTCTTTGGCACTCTTCAGTGACACATTTTTCATAAAAATATAGTTCATTCACATTGGTCTGCTATAAACCCAACCCCAAGTCATACTTCTAGACAACAAAAGTGGGATTTTTTGATGAAATGAAGTTAGGCAGATTCCTGAAAGCTCTTAAAGGAGATTGATAATCTTTTTATAATCTAACAGATTTCAAGGAAAAATAGTGCTATCAGATTTCTTAAAGAAACAGGCAATTCAGATAACAACAACCTAATTGTAGGCTGAACTGGTTCAGTAGTGTTTCACTAGAAGCAAATTTTATACAGCATTTTGGGAGAAGTAAAGCAGCTTTGAGACGCACTGCCATCCCAATGGCACAGCAGTCTGTCAAGCTCTTTCAAACAAAAGCACTTCTTTCCTTTGACTCAAATTGCTTGCAGAAACCAGGATGTAAATATAATCCAAAGAATGTGCAGTAACCATCAAGAAACTGCTATCTTCGGCTGTTTTTCTGGTGTCGCTAAAGAAAGTGCTCTCAGGCAGGCTGCTGTTTTTTCGTGTAGGATACGCTTTTTAAATGATGACTAACATAGCGCTTTGCTAACTCCTAACTGCAGTGCAGAATAATACACAGTTAAAAACCTCACCTGGCGTATTGTACCACATCTATTGCAGCATTCAGGTTGTAATTGCTTTACTGCAGTACATGTATATCAGCTCTTCCATGCCCTCTCCTCCCACAGACTGATGCAACACTGCAGCAGGAGTCCACGGAGGCACTGGCACTTTATTGCACTCAACACAACGAAGGGAGCAGATGCCAATGCATTTTTTGTAGAGACAAAACAAAAAAAAACCCCAAACCAACCAACCAAACAATGCAGCAGGGCTCTGGGAAAAACTTCCTACATGGTCCTGCGGAGCAGAGGTGTTCCATGATGAGGGCGTATTACATTCCAGCTAGTTCACTGATTTTAAAATGGAGATAGAAAGATACGGAACTACAGACCGATATATACAGAAGTTGAATATAGCCATTTCCTGGGGAAGATGCACAGAATTATTTGTATTTTGATTTTCTAATGATTGGTAATTCTTTGAGTGCCTGGAGCATGCATGTGGAATTAGAATCTTTCATGAGAAGAACTTAAAGAATAAATATACAGCCTTTAAGTCCAAATGCATTGATTTTAAATATGAGTGGACCTGAAAAGGCTTAGTTGAGAGGAACTTGTTAGTGATGTTGATCCTTTAATTAGTCTATTAGCCCAATTACTTAAACCTCTTGAGTCTATGAGAGGTGAGTGGAAATATCAAGAAGGCACTCTCTGGTGTATGCTGCTTTAGATAGCCCTAAAATGGCACAAAATCAATTCTTCACGAAACATTTGCAATTAAGAAGCATACACTTCAGGACTTCAACAAAAAAAGTCAAGTCCTCTTATTTTGCCCCAACTACACAATTTGATTCATTTATTGAAACAGCACCTTTTTCCTCTTTTTTTTTTTTTTTTTGGCGTGGAATACAGCTCTGAATCTATGCTTGCGTTTCAAACATCTGGCTTTTGATCTTGTGTTTTGGCACGTATTCTGAAACAGTTACTGCAACCACAACTTTAGAAAGTATAGCAAGATGCACTTCCCGTGCATTTTCTCTTTTCACGCACAGCCCACATCAGGCATTGACCAGCTCTTCTGCTCAAGGGGAAACTAACAATATTTCCCTGTATAATAATTTCCTTGCAATGAAGGATAATTTTCAAGAAATTGCTAAGAAATGTAGCATCCCTACTACAATGTTGCTACCACAAAAAGGAGGAGGAGCACTTACTGTCTGTAGCTGACCATAACTATTAAAATAGCTGGCATACAGCAAAGGATGATTATGACGGCCAGAGCAAGTAACGCGCCTTCCGTGTAGCCGACGGCTTGCGCCTGCTTCTTGACGTTTGCTACCACGTCTGGGGTGCGGATCTCCAGGATGCGTCCCCCCTGCCCCAGGTACGGCTGAAACTCTTTATTGATATCCAGCAGTTTGCCATCCAGGAACCTTCAATGTCACAGAAGAACACAATTACAGCTAAGTTCATTAACTGTGTTTGAATTACTGCATAGCTGGGTTAATAACCGCAGTTTGATAAAGCATATACCTCTTCTTTAAGTGCTTAAAAGTGTTAGTAATTCCCTGCAATCCCCGTGTCTGTAACAATGCCAATGTACTTAATACCAGAACACAGTTTAAATGCTGAAAAGGAGAGGTGAGCTGAAAATGATCCTAAGTTCTAGGGCCAAAAAGTTCTCCATGCCATTGAGAGCAGCATGGCAAACAGCTTGCTTTGCGTTTTTTCCTTCAGTGGTCCGTTGCAGAGCATTAGCTAATCCTCCTGCACACAACCCTGAAGACCGCTGTGGCCTGAAGATCAACTTGATGCTACTCTAAGCGGGTAATTTTCAGGGGACTTTCCTCAGCTTCTTAGGGAGGTTCTTTGGCTGGAGGTACAGCCTACAGTTTGTTCCCTTTTGACTTCCCTTTCAATGTTACAAAGGAAAGGGATTTGGGAAAACTACGCTTTTGTTAATCCCCGCCCCCTTCCCCCCAGCTGCATCAATTCTGAACCTCATTCCCAGATCTACTCTGTCTAGTCAGCCTCCATGTCTCTGCTATTAGACTGTAGTGCTGGTACTACATATTGAATTATTTGAGTAAAACTTTCCCCTCATAGCACAGCTGTTTGATGGCAAGAGGAAAACACAGAGGGACAATGACTGGATGAACTCATCTCCAGTGGGAGTGAACATCACAGTAGCTGAAGGATGTGCCCTCTCAGCCTTTGGCACAGTGCTGAGGGAGTTATGCACTGGCTTCAGGCTATCTGATGGTATCCTCTCCATCACGGCAATTTTTGGGTGGAATCTGTAGCAACATTCCTGAGAGGTGCAGGAGAATTGTAATGACGAAAACAATAACATTTTAGAAAATGCTACATCATCTGTACTCGTTTCCTTAACATCAAATTGGAGTCCACAAAAGATGACAGATGGAGATTGCTGTAAACTGCCTCCCCTTATTCTTCTATTGAGAAGATGCAGGCCATTTCTTCTGGAGTTTCACACCTCTTCTAAAAGGAAAAGCATTAAATAATGCTTATAATAAACTGTAACTTAAACTTCAGGGGTTCTCCAAACACTGCCAGGTGCCAGAACAATCTTGACTAACCTTACTAATTACAGGATCAATAGGCTATCTGCACAGCTATCAGAAAAAACACTGGTTTCAAGTAGGCCTACAAGGCACACTGTTAAGACAGAGTTAGGTCCTAGGCAAAACTAGGGTATTGGGTAAGCAGGAACCACGTGCTGCTCTCACTGCTTGCAACCTCTAATAACGTCCATCTTCTGTTTGTGCATCACCTATGAGAGGGGCTTGGAACAAAATAGTTACCAAGCAAAGAACTGGAACGGTCTCTGAAAAAGCAAATACAGTGGAAGAGGCTCAGTATCTGATCTGATAATTAGCAGTTTAAAGACAGCTAGCCAAATGTAAATCCTAATCAAATGACCTCATTTCCCATATGACAGAAAATAAAAGTTCTTGGGTCACTTTTGAAGTGAGGATTGACCGGCTCACCGGCTGCCAGGTAGGAGGCTCCAGCTGTAAAGATCACAGTAGGAGGCACCCATTAGGATGGAGGAGGATCCTGCTGGCTCTTAGCTATAGCAGAACGCTAGACCCTTACGTGTACACTGGCTCGCTTGGAGAAAGACAGTCAAGTGAAAAACACCGAGATAAAAAAATACTAAAAAAATAACAGCTAAGAAAATATTCTGAAAGGATTTCTGCATATAAACTCTGAATGGCTAAAGAAACCTGAAATAGCTCTTATTTCCTTAATCTGACCCTGAGACAGAAATTACACTCCTAGAAGACTATTTCCTAAAGGGTGTTAATTTCTTACAATTGATTTCCTCTCAGATTTATTCACTGATAAACCCTCACAGCATTGTTTGTTCCTGGTTGTTCTGAAACTTTGAGGACAATGCCCTGTGCTCTATGTATTAGCGGGATCTCCTAACATGCAGAACAACTAATCCCAAATGATGAAGTGGTGCTGGTTTCATGATACTAACTTCAAAGGTGACCAGTGGTTGCTCACTCACAGACACACACCCCCTCGCCCCCCTAAAAAGCAACCCAAGGCCTTTTGAAGAATAATTTCCCTTTTTATTAGCATGCTCTGCTGATGTTCACACCTAATTCCTTGATTTCTTCCGCAAGGCATTTCTCTGTATTTGGGCAAAAATCCCTCTTCACAGCTTAAAGGACCTGCAATGAGGGTTCACAAGACATAAATTGAGTTTAAAGGCAGCTCCAATTTTTTTGTTGTACGCTAGATGTCACTGGTGCACGTTACACGTCCTTGGAGTTGGCAAAAGCGTTCAAGTAAGATGGCATTAAATCTCTGGATGATTTTAACAATCTCTCAGTTAAACTTCTGTTGGCATTTTCTTGACAAACCCTATTTTAACAGGTTCGTAACTCTGCCGTGCACATTCACTCCATGATGAAACATGACACATTGTGCAAAAGATTCAGACAGGGTAAGCATTTTATTTTTAATGGTGGACATTTTCCACTTAATATATGCAGGAGAAATTTTCTGGATTCAACTGTTTTTTATGCTCCAATAAATCAAACCCTCTTTCATAGAAAAGATAAAAAAGGAGGCCGATCATTTCAGTCTGTAAAATTATCCAAGTGGCCCCAAAGCCTTTTAGGAGTTTGTGGTAGAGGGAGGAAATAACAAAGCACAGTTACTATTCAGACCCTTTTTTTGGTGTAACCAGACAGATTCCTGATTAGTAAGAATGTCAGGTAATCAGTCATAACAGTCTTAAGGGAAAGTATGAATCTCTCGTTGCGTATCAGTCTTATGAAGTACAGGAGAGAGAAAAATCAACATGTCTTGAGAGATGCATAGGTTTTCCCCAGCTGGCAGTGACAAACACGGCTGCTATGTCCATGACTTCTAAATCACATCTTTGTTTTCCAGCCAAACATTTTGCTTGAATGCAAGTCTGTGGGATTGGGCTACTCGTTTGGGACTTCTGGATGCGAGGCAGCCCATTCAGAACGGGCCTGGTAGCGAGCATGGCACAGCCTGTGCATGTGCTGTTGTTGCTCACATCGGCATTAATCCAGCACATCCAGAGCACGCTGCACCTCCTTGTATCCCTTCACTGCATAAATGACTGTTGGAGATGACCTGACGCACTGGAGCGATGTTTCCCAGAGGGGGTTATGGGAGCCTCAAACATTAGCTTTGCTTTAGCGGGGTTTACATCTTGCAGGGATGCAGCTTTGTAGCTGGTCACGAGCGTGACTTTGCTCGGCTGCTGATGGCCATTGGCTGTCCTGACTATCCTCTCCTCCCAGCTCCGGCACAAAGCCAAGCACCTTTGGGACCCCACACCACCCTGGCTCGTGCCGGGCTGCCAGCACCAGGATGAGTCACCAGTGATATTTGCCTGTGTCCCAGGAGCGCTCCACCTGCGAAGGGGAACGGGTCGCTCTGCTCCACTCTGTCCTCAACTCACCCCCACATTCCTTAAAAGACCTGTGCAGGGAATTGTTTTCTAACAGGGACAGGTTTAACATAAACTCTGTTAAAGTCAGGGCCTCCACTACGTTTTATAAGCAGAAACACAGCAGGGTGTTCCCAGAAAGCCCAGTTAAGAAATGCCACAGGTATCTTGCAATAGACAATAATTTTGTAAGTTGTATTAAAATCGCAAATGGCAGAATTTATGTGCTAAATCTGTGCTGTTGGTACAGTTCTTTCCTCTCTATACATCGTGAAATTTTTGAACGCTTGGAAAATACCTTGGCCAAATTAAATTCCTTACTGCTAAATAAATTTTTAAAACAGTGGGCTCCACCTCTTGCTGACTTTCCAACCTTTCTCCCATCATAACCAGTTTCTTGAATGATCCTTTCTCCTACTGTTCTCTCTTCTGCTAGGATCTGGAGCAGATTCCTGGCTGGCAGAAGGATGGTTGTGACTCTTGGCAATCTCTTCCCAGTGCGGGGACAACAATTGCTACTGTTTCCTGTGACTGGGGCAGGAAGAACATTGAGCCATCCCGCTAAAGATCAAAACTCCAGAAAAGATTGTCACAGAGGGAATTTCTTTTTAGATTTGGGTAAGCGCCCGAGCTGAGCCAAATCTCTTGAGGTTCATCCACTTGCTAGCGAAAACTTGTTAACTTCAGATGTCAAGCTACAAAACTCTCACTTCATTTTTCTCCTTACTTTAGTCAGCTGACACTCACCTCTACCCTAAAGACGGGAAAGCATTCCCCAGGATTCTGCCGATTTAAATATTTAAAAGTTTTTGAAAAGAGAAAAGAAGGGAAAAAAAGGAGGGGAAAAAAAAAAAAAAAGAAAAGATGAGTATGCAGGCACATGGAGCATTTTAATGAGGTTGCTTCTAAGCTGACACCCCGTACATTTGCAGACCAGACAAATGAATAACCGTCCCTTCACATTTGAAAAACTGCTTTTTAACCTATCTTAACTCTGTTCTATTCTCTGTATTTCACTGGACACACAAACATCCCTAAGATGACATTCCTGTATTTTCAAAGGGCACCAAAATGAAGACGGACACATTTTCTGACCACAGAGAAAGTCTGCATCAGAAAAAGATTCTTTTTATGGATTTGAAAGACCTAACTGCCTCCATGCATGGATACCAGCTCACTTTCATATACTAATAATGACAGATTTGCAGAGAGCTTTTTTTTTTTTGCAGAGAGACACTTTGGAGTCAGGAGTAAAAGGCTGTCAGAATTTTCAGCTGCCATGAAGGTCATATAAATGTTCTCAATCTGGGCAGCACTGAATAATGTGCTTTTGACCTTGAGCATTTCTAATGGGATTCCACTTGGGCCGTACTCTCAGCTGGCTACAACTGGAAGAAAACACAGACCCCAATGAATTTACAGACTGTAAAAGTGAAAAAGTAATGATAAAGAGGGATCAGTAGGTAGGCTGGGTGTAAGGCAGTAAGATACATTTTATTGAGACTAGTTTTGGGAGTGGGTTGGGGTACAACAGCCACTTAGAGGAGCACTGCAAGCAGATTTACTGACACTTTTCCTTAGAGAGAAAGGAAAATGGTTACCTATCAGGGATTCCTGCTGGCTTCCTGCCAGGTTTCCTTGATTTCCACTTCCACTCTTGAATAAAATTGCGAACAAAATCACAGAGACCCCCATTCTGGGAAGAATCAGCAGCTCTGGCAGTGGACAAGTGAACACAAATTCCCAGGGCATCACCGAGACCTAAAAAGACTGTATGACCATGGAGATACCCACAAACAAAAAATGGCCACCAGAAGGAAGGAGGCTGTATTGCCACCACTCTGAAAGCTCCCACTGCTAAACTGCATCTGATTTTTACATTCCTAGCTCCGAAAGTGATGCTGGAAGGCTGGAGAGGGTTCAGAGAAACCTGTAAGTGATTAAAAGAACTAAAACATAGCCCAGAGTGCATAGGTCAAGGAACTTCTTAAGAGAAAAAAATTAAGATGATGATGTGATCATAAGCCTAGACCTCGGTGGGAACCAGAAATTAAAAGCACCAATTGGGTGCTTCAGTCTAGCACCCAAAGTTACAATAAAACTCTATGACTGAATCTAGCCAAATTAAAAAAAAGGCCTAATTTGTGACAGTAAAAATAATGCCCCTGCAAATAACACCGCAAAGGTTGTAGTTGACTGGATTTTCTTGAGCAGTTGCTTTGCTGAAAGACACGCTCAAAGCAGAATTAATTTTGAGAGTTCCTATGGTCATTATTATACTAGGTCAGACTGACCACAGTGATCTTTTCCAACCTATAAACTCTGAATATATGCAGAGGTTTAGTATGCTATAGTTAATCTGTACTAAATTAACAGCTAGGGAGAACAAGCCCTTTTTCAATCACACTCCAGCGAGATGGCTCCACCGATATCCCACCGGAGCTCTGCTAGGTGCAAAAGCCCGGGCAGAGCGGCACCCTATCAGCCCGCTCTGCGGCAGTGACCAGAGCTGGCCCACTCGCTGGCAACATGCTGTGAATATCATCAGTCAGTAAGAAACCATCTCTTATGTGGGCTAATGTGGAAGTCCATTGAAAAGGCCAAACAACATCAAATTATGAATAGAAGTGGCCTGTCTACTGCTGTTCACCACCTCCTCTAGCAGCTGGTGGGACGGGCCCACGCAGATCTGTCTGCTCAGCCCACTGGGCACCTGGGACGACTACGGATTTCCTGCCTGTAGATGTACGCCTGGGCCATGTTCTGATGTCTATGCTTCTGATGGTGCACAACACCTCCCTTCCCTCCCCTCCCCTTTCTTCTTCTGTTTCCACAAAAAAGAAAAGAGAAAGAGACACCCTCCAAATGGAAACTGCAGAAAGCCTGGAGGTCAATGACTGGCACGCCAAAGCCCTTGCTTGGAGGACACAGAGAAGTTTTGGTACATAGTAAGTAAATTCCTTCAGAGGCATTTGAACTGGAAGCTCCTCCACCAGGTGGACCAAATGTATTGCAAGCTCTCATGGCAACAATGTCTAAATCACAGGTACTGAGGCCACCCAGCTCAAGGGAATGGACTGAACCTAGTAAAGTTGTAAACTCCCAAGCTGCACATAGGATACGTGTAGGGGGCATGGACCAAGTGCTTCAATAGATTTTTCTGTTCCTGGTGTGTTGAACCACTTGCTAACAGAGACAGATCAACAGACTTCAGAACAGTCCGCAGAAATATCG